AGCCTTCCGAAAACATACGATGCTTCTTTAATAGCATCAGGGATAGGTGTGTTTTTCGTAGTTGGCATTAAAAATATTTGTGAACTTTGCGTAGTTGCTCAGTTTCTACGGTCCATACGTTTTATGCCGCAGCCGAACAAAATTCCAGTGCTTGTACGAGATGCTTAGAGCTGACAGAATTTGTTAATCGCCGCGTTTTGTGCTGCGTCTGCCACCGCTACTATGAAATCACAGTGGATTTGTGAAAGATGGCTATCCGTGTGTAGCAAAATTTACTCAAATTTTTCGCTCTCTGAGGGAACATTTTTGATTATTGCTGCATATTTTAAGCGTAGGTAGATCTATTGCAGCTGCTAAACAGTGAACTTCGAGGCAGTTAAATTTTAAAATGGATACTCTAATCCCTCGTCCAGCGATGCTTGCTGATAGGTCATTCGCTGGATTCGATTCTCTTCATCAAGCCCCTTCGCATTCATTCCTTATGAGAGCCAGAGGCATTCGAATTAGCTGAAGTAGTAGCATGGGCTATCCACTAACGGGACTGTCAATGGTTCGCTCTTCTGTAAACTTTGCTTCTAAGCATATTGATAGCACCTTTATCATCCTGCTTCTCGGTAGTACCAATTTCCTGTAGAAACCAAGAAACGAATCGTAAAGGAATCGGCTTCACCGCGCTTCGCCTGTCATTTATTTTTATGGTTTTCTTTTTGGCCATATGGTAGTTTTTTGTTTTCAAATGTTTCCTGTTGCCTTCAGAAGATTTCCTAGACGAATGTTTTTTCTAATTTTTGCTTATATTTTTAAAGAAATTGGATGTATTTCGGCGAAAACGTCTGTGTGGGCTAAAAAGTATGCTAGGATTCAAATCGCTGGGCGATTTATTTAGCCGGCAAATCCGAATATTGTAGTCAGGTGCACTGTGATGATGTTGTTCACGGCCATCAACATGCGCTTACAAGCTTTGACTAACAGAAAGCTAACTTACTCCGTGTATGAAATTTCAATTAGTTAAGTATATTGTAAGACATTAAAATTATTCGTTTGAATGCAGATGTTTCAAGTTGATTTCAGGAAGTTGTATAGTAGAAGGAGGAAGCACTGGAGATGGAGCAAACGATGAAAAGGCGAGATTGGAGCGCCGCAATAAACTGGGCGCGAAAATATTGAAAGCAAAACTTCAAAACAAAATGGTATGTTTATTTAGCACAGCACCAGTCAAATATTTTAGTTCAAAAATTAGAGAATTTGAGGAAAGATGAGATAAAAACAAGCCCGTCACATCTCTTTTTACAGGATCTGGTTGAAAAATTAGAGAAAGAGCTGCAGGCTTTTGACGAAGGATGTGATCAGGGTCCCTCTTCAACAACTACCAAAATTTTATATCGAAGTGATAGGGGCGATGTGCAAATGCCAGCAGTACTGAAGAAAAACAGTGAAGCTAAGGTTCGGTGGTCTTTTTCCTGTTGAAATAAGGGAATGAGATTTTATGGTGAAATCATCACAATGAAATATTTTTTTCTTGATTTTTAATATCGAAAATACCAGGACCGCCCAGGAGGGCAGTCGGTGGAAATTTCCATTTCAGTGATGTCACTCTAATGCTTCTGTACTCCGGCTGCAGCTGTGCCAGGTCCTGAAATCCTAACTTGTATGTTCATCGGATTTTACTTTTTTGCATAATCGCTGTGGTTTCTTTCATAAAACTTCTCTGACGAAGAGTCTGATTGCTTATATGGTCACGAAGAGACTTCCTAACATCCGTGGCTCCAATGTTGTTTTCGTCGCAGGAAAGGACAGTGGAAACGAGGGATACATAGATTTTAACACTTTTTAATAATATTTCAAATGCGATGATGAATCAGTAGTTGATCCGAATATGCCGGAGATTTTTTGGATCTTCATGCAGCAAGATGTTTTACTTGGTTGCTGTTAATCACTCTGGCACCAACCAGTTTTAATGAGTGGATTATTTCAACACTGCGAAGTTATCCTCTGTTCTTGCTATCCTCTGTTGTGTGTTTTTTTTTTTTTGGTACCTCGAGAATAAGCAGACTGTGGCAAACAGATTGGCCGTAGAAGTCTAACTAGTGAAAGCTTGAGAGCTAAATATAGGGAGTGAGATTCTGCGAAAGTTATTCAGGACTTCTAACATAGTTGAAATAGGAGTACAGATATATCGTAATATTTTTAAGGAATTACACAATGAAAATCAGTATGGTTTTGATTTTCTTGCTAAACCTCTACTGGCACGATCTTAATAAACGCGGGTAGCTGATTCGAATATCCATATACACTGAGTTCGATTAGAAAGAAGTCATCTGTGGATTGATGAATATGTATTGTGCTATTTATTCAGGATACGGAAGCTCGCGGAAGAATTGATTCAGCTTATCGGGCTGACAAAAGCATTCGTGATATGGTTGCCGAAGAAAAAGCGACTACATCCAGCGATCGCATGCTGAATATTGCAATGGTTTGCCTTGATAAAAATTATTTTGAAGCAGCAGAGGAAAGTGGGTGACCCGAAACAGGAAGCTTGATATGTGATTCCTTATCAGTATTTCGGAAATTTCTGCTGACAGTGAGGGCGAGTGACTTTGAATGAGGTGGAGGGAGAAAGTTTGCGTAGCAGTCCTTGCTGTTGTTCTCATAAAATACTTACGGTTAAAAGCTCGGATGAGGGTGCCATTACTGATCGTGTTTATCGATAGTACACCACTACTGGTACCAACCATGCTTCTTTAGAATGCAGCAAAACATCGCGTTGACGATGATTGGGTGGTTGATGATGCGATGATGTCGGTGAAGCGATCGCGCAAAGCAGAGGAAAAAGAGGACCGTAAAATTCGAAGTGATCTTATACGAGGTTGGTTAATTTACTTTTTCTTCGGTGCCTGCTTAAATCGTGGAAAAGGGGAATTTCTCCGATCCTCTGACCACAACTTTTTTAATGACCTGACCTAAAATGAGTAAAACAACTTGACTGTTAAACATCTTGTAATTTCTTATTTTTTCTCATTAAAAACAAATCGTCATTTTTGCCCAGAGTCGCTAAAACTTGATTTTACGTGTACATCGCTATTGCTCTTTCATGAATCTTTATGTCGAACGAGTGTGATCGACAAAGGAGATTTCCTAGCCAAATTTCGATAAAACAGGCAGCAAAATTGAACTGAAAGCCTCCTTGTCTCCCAATGAATATGTAGCCTTGCTAAGCTATGCCGTACAGAAATGCTTCAGAGAAAAAGTTTTCCAGAATTAAAATGCTAGAAAAATGTTTTCTCATATTCTCACCATCATTAACAATCTTTCCATTCATTATCTTAACCGTCTTATCAAATTTTTGCAGTTTCACAGACTTCTCCTCCCTCAAATATTCTCTTTCTTCGTGAAAAACAGATGTTCAAAGTACTTTTGAAATGAAAATAATATCCTTCACACGAGAAAAATGGAAGTAAATATGGACAGAATGCGCTATTCATGTCAAATTTTCTTGATCGTTCTTTTTGTCAAGTGTATATACAAATGAGTGAAAACTTCCTCTTTACTCAATTGCGTTGAAGAGAGGTGCTGGCACTCAGGGCATATCGAAATTCTGTTATTTGACGCGGGCTGCACGGGCTCATCTCATCTTACTATGGCGTTCTTTGATCGCTTCCGAGTTATTTTCAATTACAGTATTAGGAATTCACATGCTCTCACTTCAGGCATATTCTACACATAGATTAGTTTTATTTTATTTCTGGTTAACATACGTATTTCCATTAGACGAGAAGCCAATGAACACATTTGTAGAAATATACAGGGCAGCATTGCTCATATTCTTTGTACAATTTCTGTATTTTTTTATATCACATTTTTTTGTAGCATAGTACAGTGATAATGCATATGAACAAAGAAAACAGTAGAGTTCCACTACAGGCACACTTTAATCATAGGTTGCTCATGAAAAGCAGAAGTATCATTCTTGTGGTGTGCGCCAGAACTCTTTCAGAGCATAAATTTTGCCAAAAAAGAAATCAGCATTTGTTAACTTCGTATTAAACTACAAAGACCGCCCGTGCTTGCTAGGCATACTTCACGTTTCTACACACCACGTTTCCTGGAGTGCTTCCTAATATCTTGGGACCCGAGAAGTCCATCACCCCAAAATACCCATCAGATTCTTTCCATTGTGGGGCATGGATATCGCAGGAAGATGAGCTGGAAGATCACGGGAGCCGGGAGGAAAATACACAGGAAAAGCGAGGGAAGAAAGCAAGAAGACGAACGCCAGGTACACCATAAAGTTGACCACCAGTAGCTTCAGTCTCAGTTTGGCAAGATTCACGATTGTATAGGGGGTGCGGGGAAGCGGGGGGGAGGGGGAGAGAGGAAGGGAGGGAGTGAGAGTGTTGCATAGGAATGGAACTATCGGTGTTCGAAATATCAAGCCGAGTTGCACTGGCTGACAGTTTTGAAATGGAACACCTTTTTATCAGGATGTATTTTTACCACAAAATTTCTCGGATGATCAACGCGGGAAAATTCGATTTAACTGAGATACAGTGACACAGCAAATGTAACCTTTCAAGCCCCAAGCACCTGTGTTTGATACTCGTTATGGACATGCCCTTATCAGCTCTTTGAAAGTTGCGCGAATAGTCGCTTCTTATCCGTGGTCACTGTTACTGATACGCAACAACTAGGAACTATCAGTAAAACGATCCGTGCATTTTATACGGTGGATTTCACTTTCGCTTTTTACTGGAGCGTGAAAACACGAAAACTGTGAAGGGAGAGAGTGATGGGAGAGAAGTAGGATAGGAAAGGGAGAAGTACGCCATTGCAGTACTTGCGCAGAATAAAGCAATGAATATACGCATT